ATATATATATATATATATATATATATATATATATGTATGTATGTATGTATGTATATCTTTTTTTTTTTTTTATTTCGATATCCTGTAAAAATGATCCGCTTTGTTTCCTGAATTCTCGTATCGTAGGAATTACGTACACGTATATTTACCTGTGAAAACCACTCCGTCGCACATACTACGCCCACGCATGTAACACTGAGAACGATATTTACGCATTCCTGACCCCACGCTCCGTCTATACATAGCCACGCTTGCGGTTACTCTACGTGGACCACCTGATCTGCTTTTCCCTCTCACGAGCAGCGTCGTCTCGATGTTGACGCGTTCCCTACAATTCCCTACAAACGCTACAATTCATATTTCGTGTTTCCCCTTTAATTCGTTTACACACAGTGAAATAAAACGTTGACAAGGGTTGAGGCTTGCTAATTTATACCAATGCGATCCCTGCTGACAAATTAGAACATACTGTACAAGTGTATTTTTTGTAAAATAAGTATAATAACAACAAACAACAATATTTTTCAACGAAAACTACCGATTGTATTTCTTCTTCTAAATCTAAATACTAATGTCATGGCATTTTAGTGGCGGAGCATCAAAAGAAATTGGTCGCAGAGCAGTTAGAAAGAAAAGAAAGACTCGCCAGGGAATTGAGAGCCGAGAAAGGACGACTCGAAGCGATGAAGAAAGAATTACAATCTCTCACGAGGCCTCTTGATTCTTCTATGCCTCCTCAAGTACGCGACATTGATCGATTAAGACGATGTTATTAATGTTATTTAACAAATGTTATGCAATGGATCCATTTTTCAGGAGTTAAAAAAAAAGTTACGAAGCGAGATCTATCAGTTACAAGTTGAATGCGACAGACTCGCGGATGAAGTAGATCAGTGGTCAGATCCAAGAGGTAGTGATTTTATTATTTATACTTTTAAATATTTTTTTCATAATTTATGAAATATTATAGTTCAGTTATTTTATTTTATTTATTTATTTATTATTATTATTATTATTATTATTTTTTTTTTTTTTTGCCAGTACCTTTGGGTGAAACGAATGAAAAGTTTTATCAGCATATTTATACTGGTCAACCTCTACCATCGAGTTCTGTCAGTTCCAATCCACCGCCTTTGCCAAGTCAACCACCCGCCTGGCAACCGGAACTAAGTGATAACAATACTGACAGAGAAGAACGAGACGGACCTTCTTGGGTCTGTAGAATGTGCACGTTTGATAATCATCCATTAATGAACAAATGCGAGCAATGCGATATGCCACGGTTGATGGATCACGGAAACGCAGGTACGACTTCCGGAAAATCGATAGAGGACCTTACAACCTCGTTAACACGTTTGGATATCGATCTACCACCTCCGCCGCCTCCACCGCCTTTGGGATAGTAAACCGCCAGTATTTTAACAGCATGTTTTTCTTCTTCTTCCCCTCCCCCCCCCTTTTTTGACATTTGTGAATTGACAGATAACTCGCAGAATAATATTTCATGAACAATTAATTAATGTATACAAAAAATATACGATCTCTATATTTCGATAGTGTGATGGAGCAATGCAACCAAAGGTGATATTACTTTTCTATTGTAAAATTGTTCGTTGAAGGAATTATGTAATGACAACGTAATGATGAACATACGGCATAAATAAAATAGATATATTATGTACTTGAATGCACGAATGTGTGCCATTTTCTATTTTTTAATGATTTTTCTTACTTTTTTAATGAATTTATTTTTAATATAAAGGCATGACTAATCTAGCATATATTTTGCAGTGTTTTTTTTTTCTTCTAATTATTAATAATCCAATGTTATTTAATAATTGACGAGTATTGTAATCACAAATTGGTAAGTAATGAATTTTGAAATTTTTAAGTTTCATACGAGGTTAAATATAAAATAGAGAAATATAATTAAATGTAATATGATTATATTATAAATATACAATATACGATTTACAGGCGAGACTCAAGATATCCATATACGAGTTACACATCATCATAACTTTTCCCCAAGTCGTAAGTAATTTCTTTTACATTTACATTTTAATACAGGAATAAAAATATAAAATAACGTATGATGTAAAAAAATATTTGCTTTATTTTTAGGGACAGTGCATAGTTGGGTGGTATAACGTAAATTACATTGGAAACATAAAAACTGTAAATACAATCACTATTTAAATTAAATAAAAAGTTGCAGCCAACCTATTATATAGCTGTACCCCGTTCCAAGTTTAGCTTTGTTTCACGCGTGTATTCACCGTAGAATCTTTCTAATTTTTGATTGAATTTAGCATTGCGTTCGTTGATGTAATCGATATCAGCATCATCGTTGTGCATTCTTCTTCTGCTATATTTATCTCTCTTTGCAATTCTAGAAAAAAGAGGAAGAATTACAATATACGAATGTTGTAATAAGCGTTAAGCTGTGAAATACTAACTGTTTTTCCAAGTCTTCGACCATTTTGTCAATAGCTTCTTTTTTATCTTCATGAAGACCATGTAAAATAGTATTTTTATCTCCATAAAAAGCTGGACCTAATTTATCTTTAGCTTCTTCGTACGAATCCATGTTTGGTTTAATATTTTTCACTAGCCTATTGTATTGCCGAATAGCCGCTTGTTCATAGTCTGAGAAACCTGGATCAGGATTTTTCTTATTTTTTTTCTTTCTCGCTATACGTTCTGCTTCTGTTGCATCGATATGGAGTAATTTCATTCTTTCATAATCTTCTCCCTATGAAATGTATACAAAATACAAAAATTTAATAATTCTATGCTGTAATATGATCTAATAATATTCATCATTTTTTTAATAATAATATCCACTTTTTCTTGAGCAGCTTTTCTTGCGGCTTCATCTTGTATAATCCATTCTGCTTGCCTTTTACGCGATGCCCAATTTGAAGGAAGTTTATTCCTTTTATCTTCCTCTACCACTTCTTTATGATTTTGTTGTCTGGCCTCATTCTATAAAATCAACATTTTGTAAGAAACATTTTTTGCAAAAGTTATGGAAATAAAATTAAATAAAAAATATAGGTTATATTGTAATTATTGGTATAATATTTTGTACTCACTCTTTTCGTGTGAAGTTCCCGTAAACGTTTCATTCTCTCCGCATGTTTGTCTGCAAGAGATTTCTCACTAGTATTTTCATTCTCCATTATAAAATGAAATTAAATAAACTCCTAAATGAATGAAATATGCCTGTCAGAAATAATTCTGTCACTTGTTAAAAGATTAGAACGTAATTGTTTGGTTAAACATTATCGACTCTAAGTTGCATCGCGTCACGTATACCGGAAGTTCCGATAGATGTCAGTAAGCTACGATTCGTCGACAAAAAAGGCGAACTCCGTTTGCCCGACTTCTGTGGGTGGTGGATCGATTGAAATTGATCTTCTGCTCTCGAGCGAACGAGAGCGCAATAAGCAGATCTTGTCGTTCAATTTGTAGAGCGCGGTGATATCGTTGTGGCAAGCATCGAGAGAAAAGTCAGGTGATTTTTCGTCCGCCGGTAGAAGATTGAGGTGATACCGGTCGATCACAAGTTGCGTCGAGTTAGCAGCACTTGCCAAGGTTCGCGTTTGCGCGAACCCCGATGGTGAAACGTGACGCAGAATTGTACGCTGGCGGCGATTGAGCCGCAGAAGAAAGTTCGCGCTCTGCGAGCTTTTGGGGATTACCCGCGAAGCGCGGCCAGGGTACCGCGAAAGCTCTAGTGAGGCAATTACAAGAAGGATAGAAGAGATACGCACGCGACTCCTTACTGCGACACTCTCCCGGACAAATTAATTCTTCTTATACCGTTATGGAGACTCTCGAATCTAGTCGCGTCTGCCGCCTTTGCGGTAAGCAATCCGGTATCTCGATTAATATTTTTGACAAGAATGAGAACCACGTGAAGAAAATCAACGCTATTCTCCCAATCATGGTATGTCATATCACTCTTCTCCCTTCTACATTCGTATCGTTTCGTTATGAATTTCACGTGTATTTGGTGGTCTTTCCTGACATCATTAACGCCCCCTCCTAAATCACCTTTTTGTCAGAAATTGCACTAGGAACGTTCAATAATTTTTCTTTCTTTTTTTTCCTTTTTTTTTTAATGAAATTTAATTTACTAAATTGATGTTTTTCAATGTATATCTTTCTGATTAAATATAATATATTTATTACAGATTTTAATTTTTTTTGTAAATATGTTTATTGATTACATTTATAATACTAAAAGTGAGGTTATTGTTACTTCGCGCCAATATGCCTCATAAACACTTTTCATATATTGCATAACTTCAAGTCACAAACATTTTAACCCCTTATTATTCATGAAATGGATAGATTATAAATTTGAAAATAAATATCTGAAAGTAGAATTGCGCTTAGATATCGAAAATAGTATATAATAATCTTGTACTTGAAGTAACATTACGGAAAATTTTTTGTTTCTTTTAGAACAAGAATTTATTAAAATTAATATTGAATATTTTCGTTAACTTAAATTATTTTAAATAATTAATGCGATAATTTAACAAAATTGAAATTATCTTATATTTGAAGCTTTAAAAAAATAGACAAAATTTATATTACATATTACAACGAATTTTTAAATCTTTAAAGTCGACGAAAAATATCACATATGTGTTATTAAAATCGAAATCATTTTTTTATTATGTAATTATTATCTCTTTATCAAATATATTGATCAATTATTTGGACGATGCCATTTGAATTTTTTTTTTTTTCTTATTCATTTAGAATAAAAATAGAATTCATCATATTTCATTATAATGATATCATTCTTTTTTTCTTTATTTCGTGTATAAAATATCTTATGATTTTATATTATGCAGATTCGAATATAATTCTTTAATTTCCCGCCCTTCATTTTCTTCATGCATTTGTGCAGCACGTGCAATATATCCCCACCTCGTTTTCCTTATGCGACCACGTGAACTTACCACTCGCATTCGTATCGCGTGTGTATCCTGCAGGTACACGAAATGGACCTGTTGCCGAAACATATGTGTCATCGATGCAGTTACAAGCTGGAGGAGTTTCACAAATTTTACGTGGACTGTTTGAAGACAGATACTGGTTTGAAGAATCAATTATCTTGGATGCAAAAAGAAGATTCGAAGGAGAGAGTCGGTGTGCCAATGGTGCATATAGAAAACATTAAGATCAAAGTGGAGCCGCCGGATTACGACATGTATGGCATAAATCCTATTGTTGGTGATGTCGGCTACATAAATTCGATGAGCTCTGTAACTTTTCCGATGAATAGTGTTCAATCTGACGATATTTCCGAACGTATAACGTATACGACATACGCACGTTGCAGTTGTTATTGTGATAAATCGGACCAAAGTAATGAGACTGTATCTACAAATTATGAAAACAAAATATCGAGATGTAGTAGGACAAATGAAATTAGGCAAGGTAACGATGGTTGCGCGAATGAAGCGCGAATGAAGAAGAATTTTTTATCCAGTAAAACATTTGAGGGACGATCAAATTTAGTTCAGCTTGTCAATGAGATTAAAGATACTGATAGATGTAGGCCGACTTCTTCCAGTTTGAATTTATCTAATGATTTGAGTGAATCTTATGACGCGAACAAAGAAACCTCAAAAGATATGATCGTTCGTAATTTAAGACCTAGAAGGAATTCTATAAATTATTTAGAAAATAGAAGAAAACTTTCCTCTTTGTCGTCATTGAAAGATGAAAACAGATCGACAATTATAAAGTCAGAAATGCCAGCTTCAACAGAGTTTGATATAACGCAAATTAAAGTAGAAAAACTCGATGATTCTGAAGGACGTATCTTGAGACCAAGGAATGGGACCATCAATTATAGAGGACCAATACGAAAATATTCAAAATCTACGAATAATAACCAAAGATCGCAAAATAATAAGCGTCAAGCGAATAAAAAAAAGGTTCTAAATATTACGAATGAATTAAAATTACCATTAAATAAGATGTCGAAACAATTGAAAAATGAAATAAAATTAAAAATAAAGGAAGAACAATCTTCGGATTTTAAGGATTTAATATTTGATGAATCGGTATCAGTCGCCATGTTGTCATTACCTAATCAAATTGATTCACTGCCTGACGATTATAATGTAAATATAAAAAAGGATAATATTAATCGTAATGCATTAAATCACGTCGATAATTTTAGTATAACAAATTGGAAATCTTTGCGAAATATATCGAACAATAAATTAAACGCGAAAAAAATCAAATCGAATCGATTGACTCGTATAAATTATTCGCTGAGATATTTAAGAAGTCAAGATGTTTGTCTGAGAAACGGTAAGATAAGAAAATCTGATAGTGCGGATATATCGATTAAAAAATTACCAAAAAGCCTTAAAAATCTTATGAATAGAAATAAAACATCCAATAAAACATTAATGAAGACGATTAGAAACGGTGTTACAGCTAAGATGTCGGCCTCGATGAAAATGATCGATATTAAACATTATTGCGAGGAATGTAACACAAGTTTTGCTAACAAAGAATTATTCAAATTGCATGCATGTTATGGACATTGATCTTTTTACAAAATCGGCTATCACGTCATATGAAAGATTTATTTTTTAAAGAAAAAAATGTCATTCGTATTCATGCAAATGCTAAACAAGTTTCACTGATAATCGATTATAAATATATATATTTTTTTTCTTAATCCTTTATAAGAAATCGTATGATGATTATAAATTAAAAGAAAATATGTATCTATGTAATTATTTTGAATACACATATATGCATTATTATCGTAATAATATTTTTATGAACGAAAAGAAATGTATAAATATAAATAATTATCAATTGTTAATAGAAATTAAGAAAAAATATTGCATTATACGCTTAAGAAATGTTATGTATGTAGATAAAAGATTCACAGATCGCCTTCAAAGTTTAAAATAAGATATGTGTAAAAGAATATATAAATATATTTTAAAAAATATCATATATTCATATACACAAAATTGTGATACATAGTGAAAATATAATCATTTTTCTTTTCATTCTACAGTTTAGAAATTGTTCTTACAGTCTAATAAATACCATTTGTAATTGTTATTACGAATGAATTTATGTATTTGAAAGAGTATAATGATATACTCTTAAATCATTTTGCGTGATATATTGATCGAAAATTTCTATTTGTACTCTTTAAAAGAATGACAATTGGATTTATGCAAAATGATTATTTTAATGCTTTGTATTTTAAAATGTAATTAAAATTCTATTATAAATTGTTATTAAATATCAAGTGCATTCGTTAACCTTATTATATACATATATTATACATTATTATTCGTTATTAAATTACTTTACAGTTTAATATGAGTAAAAATGAGGAGAATGTGTAGTCATTACAAAATTGTTACGTGCTACTACTAGTAGACTAATAGATCGAACAATAAATTCTCTAACTAAAGCAATAAATAATTATTTTGTTACTATTATTTTTTTGTTATTTTGTTATTTTCTTAAATATAATCATATATACTTATTCCATTATATAATCATTTCATTTTTTTGTATTTTATTCTTAGTGTTTAACACGACATGTCAAAGATATTTTACGTTACTGGTTAGGTGAGGTCGCTACAGGACAACCGTTGAGCGAATTAAAATTAACAAACAAACAATAACTACGCTAAGTGTCAAACGATTCCAAAAAAAAAAATGATTGATTACTTAGATTATAATATTCAAAGGTATTACTAGTGAAAAATCCGAATGTCTTCAAATCCTCAAAAATCCCCTCATTATGAGGATGTGAGTATTTTAAATATTTTTATTCTTATGTCTTAACCTAATTTTAATTTTTAAAAAATGTTTGATAATTTATTTATTTTGGATAATTTATTCAAATTAAAGTAGAAATATGCCAACTTTTATCATTTTTTTTGCAATAATTAGAATTTCATACATATTTAATTTATCCAGTTGAACTCAACCGAAGATGATACTTTGGGTACTTCTATTAGTCTTAGTGTAGGGGAGAATTCAATTAGAATAAAAGAAAAACCTAAGACATCTAAAAAATCAGAAGATAAACATGAGGAAGAAAAGTGGTGGTTGAAGAAACCAGACATTTGGCTTGATGCTTCTCATGTTATTTCAATAGATGAGAAAATAAAACAGTCTTTATCCCCTTCTCCGGATGTTAGTTCTTCAATGAAAGAATTTCTTGAAAAAGAAAAAATGTGTAAAGTAATTAAGGCTTTTATGTCTTTTTGTATCTTTTATAAGATATTAACTTTCAAATAAATCGTATTGTTCAGTTTTATAATTTAATCTTTTATTTTGCTTAGGCTATGCATAAGAATGAAATTGAAATGAAAGACAAAGATGACACTTTATGCGATGTTTTAGCTTCTGCTGCATTTGATAAATATCCTTCTGATTTTGAAAGTAAGTATTTTCAAAAGAATCGTATAATTTTGTACAATTTTTTTAAGTGTATTACTTTTCTGTTACACAGATGCGACTGATGAAGATATTGGTAGTATTTTAGAAGAAATGAGTAAGATAGCTGGAGCTTTTAGTCCAAATTCAGCTATAGATCGTTCAAAGTCTCGAGATTCAGCCAAAAATCCTATAGAAGAAGAAAAATCGGTAGAAGAATTATTAGAAGAAGCTGAAAAACTCGTAAGAAAAAATAGTAGCAGTTTATCTAAGAGTGGATCAAAATCTGATACTTTAGTACCTGAGAATATTCCAGAAGATGTAGAAAACCTTAACAGAGTTAGACAATTAGAAGCTGATATCTTTCAATTGATAGAAGAAGAAGTACATAAAGAGACTGAAAAAATCAAAAGGAGTCCGAAAAATGAGAAGAAGAGAGACAGTAGTCCTGGATTTGAAATTTTATATGAAAATGTGAATAGCTTGAAAGCTCCAAAATCTCTGGAACTCCAAAGAAGAAAATTTGAAGAACAAAAAGTAGAGGTATCTAGTAGTTCGGATTTAGATGATCCTATTGAAAGACATTCCAAGTCGGAAGAATTGAAAAGTATAAGAAAATTGGAATCGGATAAAGATAATTTACAAAAGGAAATAACTGATGTAGATAAGGACTTTTTCGAAGATTTATTGAAAAAATCCAAAGAAAAAGCTGAAGGTGGTATGTCAGGTAGTTCAAGTTTCGGACAAGAAGATTTTTCGCATTTTTTGAAACTTTTGCAAGGGCAAACTAGTAAAAAAGAACAAGAATCAAGCCAATCCAATGCTATAAATCCTTTTCTTTCAAAACCTGAAAAAATATTTACTTTAGATGGAGAAACTACGAATGGCAAAACTCCCGAATTTCCTGAGAAGGAAATTTCCGATATATTAGAAAAGGAATTACCTCGGACAAATTCAAAAATTGAACACGAAATTGTTGAAACAGATTCTAGTGGTGACAATGAAGAAAAAAGGCAATCTTTAAATGTTAATGATAATTGTAAAAATGAAACAGAAGTATTTAATAAAAAAGAGCAAATATCTCCAAGAAATATAGCTGTATCAAAAGATGGTAAGAAAGTACTTAATTCTAAGGAAGAGTTATATACAGTTGATCTTACGCCAAGATTAGAATTGTTTGCAGATGCAATTCCTAAATTATTGGCTGAAAAATCAATAGAAAATACAACGCAACAAGCTAAAGAATCCACGGAAGAAGCGAAAACGATCGAAAAACATAAAACAATTACAAATTCGGAAATTAAATCTAACGTTAATGTAACAATTCCTCAACGTAGTGCTAACGTAGAACGTAAATCTATCCATCTGGCTAGCGCATCTAGCAATAAATCACAAAAAAAAGAGTTAAAATTTTCTAAATCTAAAAGTTATGATCAAATTTGCAAACCATCATTTAAAACTTCTGCAGAGAATATAAGAGTAAGTAAACCTTCGGATGTTATGAAAAGACCTACTAATAATTTAATTAGACGATCGCCAACATTGAAGCCAAAATTGCAACCTACGGTTAAATCAATCACGAAAACTCTTCCCAAGACTAAAATAACTCCAAAGCCAAATAAAAATTCTGTTAAGACTGGTTCTACTTTCACTTTGTCTTCCACGTATAAAACGCACCAAACTAAATCATCAGACATTTATGCAAAATGTACTACAATGGCAGGTGGTGACACGAAACAAAATTTAACGAGAACGAATTGGGAGATGTTATGTCGTGAAGAAAGACATAAGAATAGTTTGTTGAAACAACAATTGGAATCAGAAGTGAAATTGTACAAGAGTCAGATAGACAATATGCGTATATCCTTTGAAGAAGAGTTATTTGCACTGAAGAAACAAAATATTATTTTAAAAGCAAAAATAGACGAACTTTCGTTAAATGAGAAACGACCAGATCCTCATCCAAGAAAAGATACAAAAATTATCCTTCTAGAAAAAGAATTGGAGAAACAAGAGAATTTGATTCAAGCTTATGAAACGGAAAATAAGAAACTGATGCAGGACACAAAGCGAATGCAGGAGGAAATGAAGCAGCTACAAAAACAAAAAAGTACAACTGTTGAATCAGGTAAAATGCAAGAACTTGCAGATAGAATCAAGGATCTCGAGGAGGAGGCTTTGAAACTTAATCTCGAAGTTTCTGAGCTTCGAGAAAAAAATGCAGATTATGCTTTGAACAATGAAGATTTGATTCAACAAAATAGCCTTTTAAACGATGAATTGGAAATGTTTAAGGAACAATTAAGAACAAAGAACGATTTCATCACAGATCGATTACAGGCGATGACTACGTCAGAGTTACAATTGAAGAAACAAGTAGAGGATTTGACAGTGAAATTAAGTTCTAAAACGGAGCAATTGCGAGTGGTTAAACAGGAATTCGATAAAGTGCAGCAGAACGTGCTCCCATTAGAGAAAGAACTCCTAGAATTAAGGGTTAAGGAGGGTAATCTTTTAGAAAAGTTACAGGTATCTAAGAGTCACGTGGAACGTGAGAAACAATTAACACAAAAATTAAAAGATCAAGTAATTCTTGATAACAAGAAGATTACAGATTTGAACAGGCAGGTTCGTGAAATGGAAAGGATACTCAAGAGAAAAAATCCTGATTCAGTGTCTGCTCTTATATTAACTGCGAATTCTGAACAAGAAAAGATCGGCGCAGAGAAGGTTAAATTATTAGAAGATCGAATTTCGAGTCTCGAAAATGAAATTAAGGCAAAAGATGAGTTGGCACAGCAGAAATTGATCGAATTCCAAAAGAAGTTTTCAGATATGAAAGAAAAATATACTGCTCAAATAATAGAACTGGATGGTAAACTATTGGAGGCTAATATGAAAGATCGCAAGGTGTACAATGATATGTTCACGCAAACTGCGTCGAAACTTTTAGAGAACAAGAGTGTAGAAACTATTAGAAAGGAGGAGAGGGCAGGATCATTTGAAAAGGAAGAGAAAAAGGATCAAAAATCTTCTGCGAAAATTACTCTTAAATCTCAGAACTCTAAAGACGATGCTTATCTCATGGCTACGATACGTGGATTGAAATTGGAGCTCGCGAATAAAGATAAAGCGATGTCGAAACTCACGAAAGATTTCCAAGATTTGCAAAAAACGAACACGAGATTGCAGAAGGAGAGGGAAAAGTTGTTGAATGATAGGAAATCATTGAAAACTATGAATTTTGAAAAGAATCGTGGCATATCCTCGGATTCAAAGTTGTTGACTTTGAAATCTATCGAAGGAAACGATCAAAATTCCAACGTTTATCAAAATGGACATGTATCCGATACTAATAGTCAACGATTGACCAATTCGGCACAAAAGCTTTATGATCCTATGCAGTATACCGAAAATGGAGATACAAATTTAGTGAAGAGGCTGACCGATGAGAATGATATTCTAAAAGAGGAACTGAATAAGATGAACAAGGATTTCATGGCTCTGAAAAACAAACGACTCCACGATTTGAACATTTTGCAAGAGGAACATGAACGTGAGATGGCCACTTTATTGAAGGAATATAGCGTGAAATTCGGAGATTCTAAAGTGGTAAAGTTACAGGTTCGTTGTATTACGTGCAGTGTTTTTTTGTATTTTTTTTTTTGTTTTATTATTTTTATCCTTATTTATTTATTTATTTATTTATATTACGTTATAAAATATTTGCAATATTTACATGTATCTTGCACGTAGTACTGTAATCATGTGATATGTGATCATTTTATTAAATAATATTGTTCTTATTGATAGGGTCAAATAAATACTCAAGTAGCTGTGATATCTCACTTGAAACAACAAATAGAGAAATTAAGAGATTACAAAGAGCAAGTCGTTGTTCTAAAGGCTGAAAGGGATCATTTAGAAAATAAAGTGAAGACATTGAATGAGAAAGTGAAATATTTATCAACACCGGTACGTGATTAAATATTTATACATTTTATATATTCATTTTGTAATTATTCTCTCGTTTGTTTCAGAGTACGGAACAACTGCAATTATTACAAGACAAGATAACGATTCTTCAACAACGACACGAAAGTCGCGAGATGACATTACAAAGTTTGGTGCGCGATTTACTTAGAAATAGAACCCAGTGTAAGGATTGTAAAAACGAGAAGGGTAAAAATCGACAATTGTGTTATTTCCGACAGGAGCTTGATCATATTCTTGGAATGCTTCAAGAAATCGCCAATGTTCATTAATTTTTAGATGAACTAGGATAGATATATGTGCAAGGTGGTGCTCATGAAATATCGAGAAATCGATAGGATAGTAATTTCTCGATTCGTTATCGGGCATTGTGATAATTCGTATGTTCAAGTGTACTGAAACGTATCTTAGGTTTTTGTTAGAAGTTATCATGTTGTTAGGCACTTTATAAATATGTAAGTGGATGCACAGCCGAAAAGGTTTGATCGATGTTTTTTTTATCGATCTTTCCACGGAGGCAACACGATTAGTTGTTCACGGTCGAGTTTGCAATATGTTTAATTATTCTTATCATAGGATAATGATAATAAATTCAGTGAAATCATATCGATCCTGGGAAAGTTCGTACATAATAATTGACTGGGATCACTGCCAAAGTTACGCAAAAGAAAAGACGAACAAATAATGAAGTTACTGTTTTATCGTAACTTCTCGTCGACATTCCTTCTTGCCATTGTGCGTGCAATATGCATGGACAACGTCCATAGTTGGAGTAATAAAAACTAATAATCGTAATATCAAATGAAATAAACATAGAAATATTTTGATCTATATTTACTAAAAGCAAACTTTTTATTTATCTAATAACGTAGGTTTAAAAATTGTCGAAAACTTGACTGCTTCCAAATCGGAACTATCTTTAGCCATGTATTTATTGTCAATTTGACGAATGAATAGACAGACCATATATGAAGACCGTATGGAGGAAAGTATCTCGAGAAAATAAGATATTTTCCAAACTTGCATAGGAGTTAATTTTTTACATGAGGCTTTTTCAAGATATGCTAAACACAAACGACTCAGTTATATAATTGTATTTATTTTCTATTTATATTTATTCACTCATTTTTCGCGATCAACGAATCCATCTATAATCAAGTCGTCCAGTTATATTATACATATATTTATATACACTTTAGAAACATTCTTCATTAAACGTTTTAGCAATAGTTTGACTCTTATATTCTCACCACGAACGAAGCACACGCATATCGCACAAATTCGACGTGTCCTAGGTGTAATAGTAATATTAAAAAAACTTTGTTACACGATGATCCTAGAAAATAATTGTTTGCTTTCAGGTTATACCTGTTTTTATCAAATCATTGTAATCACACACAGAGTATATATAGTCACTTTTTCAAGACTGGATATATGTCGTTGCATTTTTTTATAATTACTTTTAAGCCAAACAGCCATGATGTACAAACCGTGAGATTATGACTTTAATAATAAATTATTTCTCTTCTCTTTGACTTTATTCAGCTTAATATATTTGCTATTTAATATTACGTGCTATCTGTGCTATTGTCTTTTTTTCTACGATGTGTGATGGAATAGATGTGCGATGGAAAAATGAATTTCAGGAAAATAACATCATGTTTAATTTCATTTGAACAATTTATTCGGACAAAATATATATTTTTAAATACATGCGACACATTTCTATCTCTATGCAGGATACATTTATCAGCTGTACATTAATATACAGTTTCTTGTTATTAAATACATAGCAATGCCAAAAAATATTATACTAAGACAATGATTAAAAGCAAATCTTGGAAGTAGCAAATTGTTATTCCTTCTTGGATGAGATTCTACCATAGAACGAATTGTGGTGCCTGCCTCACGAAGTTGCTACAACAAATAAACGCATTTTATTAATTTTTCAATCGATTAATTATCTTTGTTTCAATTAGGTATGAGTGGATGCTTGCTTACCGAATGAAAGATCGTTTGCCATAAAAAATGGATAATCCATACATTGTACAAAGACCAATTACAAATGCCTGACGGATAATATCGAACGAAACGTGACTCTCTTGTTTCAGGAATTCTGCGCCGCCCATTCTAGGTATGTATTCATTGTTATGGGTTAAAACTTTATCTCGCATTGCTAATGAACGTGTATTAACAGGAATTCTGGAATTGCGTTCTTGAACCCTTGACGATCGGATATGCCTTCGAAGAAATGTTGAATCTTCCGACAGATCTCGGAAGTTTGATTGTCTTCGAGAGCGAGAATCTCTGTCTGTGGAGCGAACATATTCTCTGTCTACGGAACGAGCTCGTTTAACATCGTTTAGGGATCTATCTCGAGAAAGCATTGAAACTCTTTCAGCGTGTCTTTGTTCCTTCTGGCTAGATCGAATATCGCTTGCAACAAGAGTAGTGCCACTTCGTCGTTGTCCATCAATGTCAAGCCTTTGTCTCGCAGATCGTTTTGAGTTCAACTCGCGTCGATCGGTCCTTAGCTCCACGAGTCGACGATCAGCTCTTTGTTCCACGAG